CCGTCTTACTATAGCAAACCGATAATCTCATGGACGGTCCAACTGGTGCAACACCCAAATTCGGTCCAACACCTAATCCAATCCACTAACAAAACCCTAAACTAAACCCAATTTTTTAACCCATTTTTATCTGCTATTTGCGATTCAGCGATTCTGTTTGGCTATTTGCTTTTTGGTTTGCCTCCTCCACTTACGTCCTCCTCCTCCATTCGCGATCTCCTTCAGGCTTCAACTTCAAGTCTTCAACCTCTTCAATCATTGCTGTTGCCATCTAAAAGTCTGCTTCTTCCTTGCCGTGGTTGGTCTACTACACTACAATTCGTTAGTCGTGAATTCAACTTCAGTTCAAAGTCTTCAAGACTTCAAGTCTTCAACCTCTTCAATCATCGCCGTCGCCAGCTAAAAGTCTACTTCTTCCTTGCCGTGGCTAGTCTGCCAGATTCATGAGTCACGACTTCAACTTCAGTTCAGACTTCAGCCTTCACATCTGTCGCCGTCTACTGCCATCTGCGAGCTGTCATCGACCAAGTAACAAATTGCTGTAATAGTCATCCTATCTTTCTCTGTCTTCTATTTCATATCATGATATTGTATTATTGTGATGTGAATCTGTCAATTGAATTTTTGAAACTCTTAAAACTGATTTCTTATTGTGAATCTGTCATTTGTCAATCGAATTTCTGAAACTCTTAAAAGTAATTTCTCATGGGAAATTAGAAATTGATGGTGAAAGTTTCACCGTGAAACTTCATTACAGTAACTGAAAGGGGGAATTTTTACATCAAGAAGATGCGATGTGAATTGTGAAATATTGAAATGTTCATGTCACTAAAGTTGTCAAACTGAATGGGATGAAGCAAACGGGAAGAATATAACTAATAACTTTACAATAAAATTATAAATTATGTGATTCACAGGGAAGCAGAAGAACATTTCTCATTTACATGCTACCATAAAGTAAAATGCTATTAGATTATCTGTGAACTGTGATCACTAAATTAACTTAATAAAATTTCTAATTTTTCTCCTAGCAAACCTGCTAAATCCACCATGATTAGCGTGAGATTAACAATGATTAATTAGTAATTACGGTAACCCAATTAAGCATTAAAAATTTAAAAATGAATGACCAAAGCCTCCGTTTTTGCTTTTTGTTTTGTTTTCTTTTGTTTTGTCTCTTTTTGATCTTGTTGTGTTGATGAATCATGAATGGGTTGTTGATGAATCACTTGGTTGTTGGTTACATAACAAATATATGTTTCTTTTAATCAATTTTAGTGGTTAGTACTTAGTACTTAGTATGTTTATTCATAATTGTTTCTATATATATAATATGAATTGATTTTATATTAATTTAAAGTTATATCTTATAAATTATAACAAATTGATTGTTGGTTGCCACTTGTCAGGGGAAAGAATGTCATCATCTTCGTCTGCACATAACTCATCAGCCGCATCCATTTCCTCGCAATCTTTTCGAGGAAAGACCAATATAGCATGGAGACATGTTCTTGAGAGTGTTGGTAAAGATGGAAAGAAAATATTATCTTGTCTTCATTGTGGCAAGGTCACTAGAGGTGGTGGTATTTTCCGAATGAAGCAACACCTAGCAGGAGTAAATGGGATATTGGAAAGTGCCCAAAGGTTCCATTTGATGTTAAATTCAATATGAATGAATCACTAAAAGAAATAGGAGTAAAGAATAAGGAAAAATAAGACTTCCGAAAGCATGAAGGTGGTAGTAATGGCGGTAAAAAACAATATACGAGCAGTAAGAGAAAGAAACCTACGAGGGTTAGTAATTATTTTGCTCCACGAACTACTTTTGGGTCTTAGCCTTCAATTAGGAGTGTTTTGGCTGGAAAAAGATGTAAAGTGGAGAGCAGACATGTCTGTTGCATGATTCTTTTATGATGCTTGCATCCTGATGAATGCTTTAAGCTCAATTTTTTTTTTCAGCCTATGTTGGATGCTGTAGCTGCAATTGGCCCTGGGTATAAACAACCTACTTACGATGCTATACGTGTGAATTTATTGAGAGATGCTAAGAAGGAAGTCTAATTACTTGTTCACAATTATAAGAGTATTTGGGAAGAGGTTAGATGTACATTAATGGCTGATGGTTGGACTGATACTTCCCATAGGTCATTGAGTAATTTTCTCGTATACTATCCTAAAGGTGTTTGCTTTATAAAATCAGTGGATGCTTCAGATGTTGTAAAGGATGCCTTTACATTGTTCAAGTTGTTTGAGGATATGGCTTTATGGGTTGGACCAAACAATATTGTCCATGTTGTCATGGATAATAGAGCAAATTTTAAAGCTGTTGGAAGAATGTTGTCTAAGAAGTATATGAATATTACTTGGTCACCCTGTGCAGCACATTGTATAAATTTAATTTTGAAAAATATATCTAAGTTGGACCACATAGTGCATCTTGCAAAACGTGCTTCTGAAGTAACCAAGTTTGTGTATAATCACACAATTTTGATAGCTTGGTTGAGGAAAAGAGAGGTAATAGCTTATAAACCTTTAACTCATGTTCTTGTTAATTTATTACATAATAAACATTTTGTAATAATTTACTAACATCTATTATGTATGTATCACCTGAACAGGGTTGGAAAGAAATCATACGACCAAGTGCAACTCGGTCTGCTACTACTTTCATTGCATTAAGAAGTCTACATGAGCACAAACATGACTTGCAAGCTATGGTGACTGGTAGGTTTTTTGTGGACTCTCGATATGCCAGAAGTAGTAAAGGTAAGAATGTTATTCTCATAATTCTAGATAATGAATTTTGGGATGACATGGGTTACGTTTCCAAAATTGTGGCTCCTTTGATGCATTTGTTGCGGATTGTAGACTCAGATGAGAGACCTGCAATAGGATATGTGTATGATGGCATGTATAGAGCCAAAAAAGCGATCAAAAAGCTCTTTGAAAAGAAAAGACACTGTACAAGCCTTATACCGAAATTATTAAGCTGCGGTGGGATAGGCTTTTGCGCTGCGACATTCATGCTGTTGCTTATTATTTGAATCTAGCTTTTAGTATGACCATGCAACTTTCTACAAGAAACCAGAGGTTATGCGTGGTTCCCTTGATGTTGTCGACAATAAAGCAAGTGCATTTAAGTTGAACAAGACAAAGTTAGTGGACGAAAGTATAATATATCGAGATTGCGAGGAGAGCTTTTCTCGTGAGCATGCCTTTCAAACTTGCAAAACCACACGACCTGATATGTGATACTTATTAAATTTCTCAATTGTAAGTCCAATTTCTTAGTTATGAATTTATGTTTATTGCATTATTTCATATGGTTAACACTTTAACTTTCAATTAGATGAATGGTGGAGGACATATGGGTATAGTACTCCACAGTTACAGAAGTTTGCAATTAAAATTCTAAGCCAAACTTCAACCTCTTCAGGATGTAAACGAAATTGAAGTGTTTTCGAACGCATCCATTCAAAAAGAAGGAATAGATTGGAGCATCAATGGTTTAATGATCTTGTTTTTATCCATTATAACTTGCGTTTGAAAAATAAGTATAAAGCATGGGCAATTTTAATTTTTTTATTGATATTTTTATTTGGCGTGTCTTTCAGGATGTGTTACAAGAAAAACGGTTGTGATCCTATTGATTATGAAAGCATTGACAGAACAAAATTTTGGATTGCTGATGATGAACAAGAGGGTGATGAATTCAATTTAGATGAATTGGAGCAAGCACTTTACAAAGAAGGATCTATTTCTACTAGTGTTGGTGATCAACCCTATTATGATTCAGCAGATGGTTCACAAGGTTGTTTTCCAACTTTTAACCAACTTGGTAGCTATTTTAAATTATAATATCAAAAAACAATGTACATCATAAGTTTTAACTTATGTTTTTAATTTTTGCTAAATTTGTAGCTGATGGTGATAATAATGATGATGATGTGGATAATCAATTTAAGATGGGTTGAACCATTGAAGATCATCGGAAAGATAAAGTAAGTTTTTGTTTTAAATTTATGCTATGAATTGGGAGTCTGGTTTTTTCTTTTTTTTTTTTTTTTTTTTTTTTCTATTGTGGTGGGTAATGAGTCCCTTGGCTATTGGCAGATGGCAGCAGTTCGGTTTTGGCTTCTGTGGGGATTGGTTTTCTTTTTATGCTCTGATGGGAGGTGTGTTCCATGGCTGCTGGCAAATTGAATATGTTTGGTTTCTCATTTTTCCCTTCACTTACCGTGAGTTGTTGTTGAATTTGTTTGTGGTTGGGTTGGGTTTTCACTTTTCACTTGCTGTTGCTGCTGAATTTGTTTGTGGCTGGGTTGGGTTTTCACTTTTCACTTGCTGTTGATGCTGCTGATGGATGGTGGTTTGGTTGGTGGATTGGATTTATATTGTGTAATTTTGTATGTTGGTTGGTGGATTGGTATTTTGATATTTTGTAATTTTGTTTGTTTGTTGGTTGGTGGATTTATATTTGATATTACTTTGTAATGGCTTTGATGATGTTTGAAACTTTAGACTTGAGGATTGAATTTGTAAACACTGACTATCAAACTTTGATGGTTTTATTATTATTGTAGGGTTTGTTTAATAGTTTTTAGTTATATAAAAACTCTGGAGTGTTTTTCTTTTTTGCTGACATCATCATGCCATCATGTTATCATCATCACCAGTCCGACCGGTCGATCGGACCGGTCCAACCGTGAAAACTGGAAACCGGGCCTTTGGCAGGTCGAGTCCCGGTCCGGTTTTTAGAACATTGCTTTTAAACAAGTCTGAATAGTGAAATTATTAGCATCCAAATGCACTGTTCCCGCACTCGTTTTCTAATTACACCTAGCATTTAGTGTTGAAAATTACTTCTACAGCATCACGTGCAAGTGGCTTCACATTCTTCACTTGCCAGTGCATTGAATAGGTGCTCTGTGGACAAGAATAAAAGGGCCTACAATCGTAGGATGTTTTCTACACCATCCAGAAAGAGAAGCGCAGCAGACATGGGAATTAGACGAATGCTTTTGCAACTCACAATAATCGGATGCGGGATCATATTAGCAGCGGCTGCAGAACAACCAAGTCTTCCTTTTCCCATAGCAAAACCTGGTTGCCAAGATAAATGTGGGAATGTTAGCATCCCATATCCATTTGGCACAACCGAAAATTGTTTCCACAGTCAGCACTTCCGCATAACTTGCAACGACACTTATTATGATCCTCCAAAAGCATTTCTGGAGAGAAGTAACATAAGAGTCGCAAAAATTACACTCCAAGGAAAGTTACATATCCTACAATATATAGCCTCTGATTGTTATGATGAATCTGGTATACGATTGGCCTCCAATAGATCCTATCTCTATTTGCCCACATTCATTATCTCTTATACCGACAACAAGTTTATAGCTGTTGGTTGTGATACAAAAGCATATGTTGCTGGTTTAAAAGGAGAAGAAGAGTACATAGTAGGTTGCATGTCCTTGTGTGATAGCATTGATTATGAATCTCATAACACATGTTCCGGCATAGGGTGTTGTCAAACATCCATTCCTAAAGGAGTAACAGCTGCTAATGTAACGTTGAATTGTTACTATAATCATACCGAAGTATGGAAATTTAATCCCTGTAGCTATGCCTTTATTGTTGAAGAGAATCAGTTCAATTTTTCTTCAACTTCACTTCGAGATCTGAAAGAGGTGCAGCAACTCCATGTTGTTCTTGATTGGACAATTGGAAATCAGTCCTGCAAAGAATGCCAAGGAGAAAGCAAAAGCAGATGTATTGATTCTGAAAACGGATCTGGGTACCGTTGCGAGTGCTTAAAGGGTTATCAAGGAAATCCATATCTCCCTGGTGGTTGCAGAGGTATGCTCTTCTCTGTTCTTAAATTATTTATCTTTTTTTTTTTTGGTTACGGAGAATTGATCCTATCTTTATAACTTATTGTTGCTATTTGCTCTTGATTAACCTAATAAATTCAAATTATAGAGCTTTCTTGAAAAATTTCGACTGATTATATATTACTATTATTATTAATTTTCTTCTGTATTATAGTGACATCTTTTTTCTTGATGAGTATGGTTCTTATCCAGACGTAAATGAATGTGAGGTTCCTGATCTCAACAACTGCGAAGGAAACTGAGTTAATACAGAAGGGAGTTACATATGTTTATGTCCCAAGGGATACCATGGGGATGGAAATAAATCTGGACAAGGTTGCATTCTTGGTCCATCAAAAGTAATTCTTGTTACTATTGGTAAGTATACGTGCACTATACTAGTTTGGATCTCTGACAAACGGGGTACTCGTATGAATTACTCGACTGCAATTACATATATAGAACTGTTTCATGCTCCTCTGGTGTTGGGAACTATGGAAAAAAAATTGTAATTGATAGATTTTACAGTTAAAATTTCAGAATATTCATATATTATGATAAATTAAACATATTTTGTACATAGTTAAACTATTTATTATCTTGAAGAGGTTTAGATAAGCAATATATTAAAACCTTCAATATGTATACCATGTAGGGGTTAGCGCAGGCCTTGTGGTATTGGTAATAGGTAGCTCCTGGTTGTACTGGGGATTCAAGAGAAGGAAGCTCATCCTACTCAAAGAGAAGTTTTTCCGCCAAAATGGAGGATTTTTTTTACGACAACAGCTATCAAGAGGAAGAGGGGAGGGAACCACAACAGAAACAGCAAAAATCTATACAGCTGAGGAGCTCGACAAGGCTACCAACAACTATGATGAAAGCAGAGTTGTTAGCCGTGGGGGATATGGTACAGTTTACAGAGGAACTTTGTCAAATGGAAAAGTTGTTGCAGTTAAGAAGTCTAAAGTAGTGGATCAAAGTCAAATTGAGCAATTCATCAATGAGGTGATTGTGCTTTCGCAAATCAACCATAGGAATGTTGTAAAGCTTTTAGGTTGTTGCTTGAAGACAGAAGTTCCATTGCTTGTTTATGAATTCGTTACCAATGGAACCCTTTTTGATCACATACATAATAAAAGCAAAGATTCTGCGGTTCCATGGGGAACTCGTTTAAGAATAGCTGCAGAAACTGCTGGAGTGCTTTCATATTTACATTCTTCAGCTTCTATACCTATCATTCATAGAGATATCAAGTCCACAAATATACTCTTAGATGATAGTTATACTGCCAAAGTGTCCGATTTTGGTGCTTCAAGGTTGGTGCCCATGGATCAAGAAGGATTATCTACAATAGTGCAAGGTACTCTTGGATACTTAGATCCTGAATACATGCACACAAGCCAATTGACCGAGAAAAGTGATGTTTATAGCTTTGGAGTTGTGCTTGTGGAGCTACTCACTGGTAAGAAGGCGCTTTCCTTTGACAGGCCAGAGAAGGAAAGAAATCTTGCTATGCATTTTGGTTCTTCTCTGAAAGAAAATTGCTTGGCGGAAATACTAGAAGATTGTGTAATTAACGGGGAAAATCTTGAGCACCTGAATGAAGTTGCTTGCCTTGCAAGGCGGTGTGTGAGAGTGAAAGGGGATGAAAGACCAACGATGAAGGAAGTAGCAATGGAACTGGAGGGAATAAGAATAACAGCACAGCATCCATGGGTTAACAATGAGTCCAACTTGGAAGAGACAGAGCAATTGCTTGGTGAATCATTAGACACGGTTAGTTATGGCTGTGGTACGAGTTCTTCATATGATAGCATGAAGAACCAGGTCACGGTACGTGTATGTGATACAAGATGATTCCTCAGTTTAAATGACAATAAAATTTCTTCTATTTTAATATACCGTGTTTTAGGAGAATAAGTGTTTTAGGAGAATACTGTTAAAAGATATGGAGACAAATTCAATCCAAATTAATATTACATTAGGAAATATGTTTTTCTTAATATATTTTTATGTAAGATTGTTTTTCTTTAAGAATACAATTAGGAATAGAAATATAATTGTACTCGGAATTAAATAAAAGTCCAATTAAGATAAGATATTTGAGTCCTATTAAAAATAGTATCTCATGTGTTACCTATAAAATAAGTCAATCCTAATGTTATATAATTGAATACAATAGAAGACAAAACCACAATTAGAGAGTGAGAGTCGCCAAAGAGAGAGAACTTTTATATGGGGAGTGAATCTTGTGTTTGTGTATGAGGTTGATTATTTGTCGTTTCTCCGCTTTATTTTCAATTTTATAGGATTTACTAGGATCATGCCCACAACAAATAAGATACCGATAGGAGAAATGAAAAGATAGATACTAATCCCTCATGTTGTGTAGTTTTCATCATTACTACTGCTAGTGATTGTGTTTTCTTCATCAATTGTACTTGTATAGATTGGGATAAATGCTTTTTAGTGTTAATAAAGGATAATATAATAAGGAATTGTGAACATTTGTAATGGTGAATCGTTGCTGATGTTTATTCATTTTTACTATCATTTAAAAAACATAGAGCTAAAATCTTTGAATTCCTAAAACCCAATTAAGAACCGGTGCTCTATCAAAACCATCCAACTTTATAGGCTGAAGCTGATTCGATCACTTAAAATTACTTCTACAGCACACAAGCCAACTAACCGAGAAAAACGATGTTTATTGTTAGGAAACGATCATCTATAGCAGCGGAAAAAAAAAAAAAAAATTTGCATGATAGATCGTTCCTTAGAACCAAGATCAGGGCACAAAAATTACAGTTTATATATTAAATAAGAATCTGCAGATTTTAGTTTAGAGGTTTAAGAAATCATACAAACGTTTGGAGGCTCCTCCAACTTGTCTCTGAAGGTATTTCGCTACCGACCCAAGTGTAGGATCGAATCGATGTAGTCTATACAAAAATAACCTCAAGGAACTAAAGAGGGATTTGCTAGATCCTCTTTAGCCTTTACGAACCAAGAAGAAATCAAAGTGTATTTGATTTTAGCAAAAGCAAAACTGCCATAAGAGCATGTTAAAAGGGTTGGAATTTTAGTTTTTATCATTGAAATGAACAATAATTTTATTTCACAAAGTGTGCACTTATATAATACACACTATACCCTATTCCATCATGGAATGGGTTTGGGCTCCAACCCAAACATCCCTTGTATCAAAACACCCTTCTTCTAAACTGGCTCTTAAATTATCTTTTATGTGTGTGACCCATAGGCTCCTCATCATACCGATAGTGTGTAGTATCACGATTAACATCAATTAATCGTCTCACTATACACAGACCAAGATTGGCCCTAGCAAGGCATCATGGCCACCTGATAGATTTGGATTTAGCGAAGCAGCTACCTATCAACGATATGGTTACCATGCAATTCGATCCTTTCATCATCCATTATCTCGACGAGACCGTGGCATAGAAATAGTGTCAACCTCGGTTACTCTCGATATTATGTATTTAGTTACTAGACCAATGACCTGTATTATAAATTGGATAGAGCAATAACTCAATCCCACTGTGGCCACAGTTTTATTGTCATTGCCATTTACTGAATTGCGCCGTGAGATAACTTCTCCCGTACCTGGGAGTGATGAATCCTCTGTCTATCCACCATAGTCTTGATACACTCCTTAATGCAGTCAATCACCACCGTATTGATAGCTCTGAATAGAACTGTGTTAGGCTAGTGTCAAACTACACCAATCGGTGCACAAGGCGCTCCGGTGATCTCAAGTCTACGGATCACATGTACCACCATTCGTTAGAGGATTTTTTCCATAGACACTAGGGTTACCATCCATATGGAATCCTCTGGTGGGTCAGTCCAGTGAACTTGCCTACAGCAAGCACCCATGTGGTGTTCCAAGTTGTCACCAAACAACCTTGACAAGTGAGATCAGTCACTACCTTTCTACAGGGTCGTTCAACACTATGATAACCTTACCGTATTATCTGTGCCTTTACTTCAGAATAATACTGGGGCTACAGACGTTTCTAGAATGGCAACCATATGTGCTCATAAGGTTCTCACTATCAAGATTTGAAACACTTGATACCCTCATCACGGTTCTACCATTCTAAGGACATATATCAATACATACAATGATGATTTACGCGATATAGTATAAAATGCCTTTTATTGATCAATGAGCATTATTACAAAAAGTCAATTCTGCAATAATTGATTGGCTCTAGGACACCTACTCTAACAATCTCCCACTTGCACTATAGCCAATCATTCATGCACTTAACATTGAATGACCTAAGTGCCTGCACTATAGCCAATCATTCATGCACTCAACATTGAATGACCTAAGTGCCCATCATGCTTCTGCTACAACAAAAACTTCAATAGTAGGTTAAAAGGTATTATGCAAATCTGCACATTCCCTTTCTGATCGATCTCTTAGATTAGATTGAATCAACTAAGTATGCATTTGGATTACTGGTGAGATCGTGATTCCTCAGCCACAACAATGGCTCCATTGTTTTCACAGTAGAACTATACTGGATCAGCAATGCTTGGAACCACATAAAGTTCAGTAATGAACTTCTTAATCTAAGCTGCCTACACGGCTGCATTAAATAATGCGATATATTTAGCATTAATTGCAGAATTTGTTACAGTACACCGATTTGAGCTATTACAGCTCACTGCAGCTATATTGAGGCAAAATATTCAATCCTTGATTGTGATCGATAATCATCTTTGTCTGTTTGCAAACTAGCATCACTGTATCCTCTTACAGTGAGCTCATCTTACCCTTCATGAACTAAGACCATATCCTTAGTCCTCTTCAGGTACTTAAGAATATTCTTGATAGCCATCCAGGGACGCTCACCTGAATCCAATTGATATCTACTACAAGTGCTCAAAGCACATGGGACATCAATCCGAGTACATAGCATGACATACATGATGGATCCAATTGCTAATGCAATGGGATTCTCTTCATCCTATCTCTCTCATCATGTGTTCTAGGACACAATTACTTAGAGAGATAAACACTATGTGACATCAGAAGAAATCCCTTCTTAGATTCTTCCATACTGAATCTTTTCAGTACTTTGTCAATATATGCACTCTGACTTAGGCCAAGCAACCTACGCAATCTATCACGATAAATCTTTATTCTAAGGATGTAGGCTGCTTCCCCTAAGTCCTTCATGGAGAAGCACTTGGATAACCAAGTCTTTACCGACTGCAAGTTCGGTATGTCATTCCCGATCAGAAGTATGTCATTGACATATAACACTAGAATGCCACTGCACTCCCACTCACTTTCTTGTAAACACAGGGCTCGTCTTCATTCTTGATAAAACTGAATTCTTTTATGGCTTCATCAAAATGAATGTTCCATCTCCTTGAAGCTTGCTTGAGTCCATATATGGATCTCTGCAACTTGCATACCCTATCAGCTTGCCCATCAAGAACGAAACAATCGAGTTGTGTCATATACATGTCCTCTTCAAGGTTTCCATTCAGGAAAGTTGTTTTGACATCCATTTTCCAAATCTCATAGTCATGATATGCGACAATCGCAAGCATAATCTGGATGGATTTAATCATGGCAACCGGCGAAAAGGTTTCTTCATAGTCAATACCATGAATTTGTTTGAAACCTTTGGCAACCATTCGTGCCTTATAAGTATGCACCTTGCCATTCATGTTCGTCTTCTTCTTGAAGACCCATTTACACCCTATCGGTTTTACCCCTTTAGGTGGTTCCACCAGAGATCATACTTGGTTCTGGTACATGGAGTCCATCTCAGATTTCATGGCTTCAAGCCATTTAACAAAATTTGGATCCGATATAGCATCTTCGTAGGTTCTGGGTTCATCATCTTGGTAGACCAATACGTCACCATGTTGAGTCACGAGATAACCATATTTCTCGGGCTCATGGCGTACTCTCCCAGATCTACATAGCTCTTGTGCTACCTGAGGTGGCTCACTTTGATCCACAAGTTGTGGAGTAACCTCCTCTTGATGTTCAACCACCTTCTGTGGCACATCATCTCGTTCTTCGTCTAGTATATTTTGTGGTTCTAGAACTTCATTGAGTTCTACTTTTCTCTCACTAGTACTTCTTAGAAAAAATTCATTTTCTAGGAAGACACCGGAACGAGCAACAAAAATTTTGCGATATTTTGGGTGGTAGAAATAGTATCCTTTGCTCTCCTTTGGATACCTTACAAATATACATGTACAGGATTTTAGGCTCAGCTTGTTCGAAGTCAATTTCTTAACATAAGCGTCGCAACCCCAAATCCTTAGATAAGACAAGTTGGGCTTTCGCCCACTCCATAGTTCATATGGAGTCTTATCTACAGACTTTGACAGCACATGGTTCATAACGTGAGTCGCAGTCTCTAGGGCATAACCCCAGAATGATGTAGGTAGATCACTAAAACTCATTATGGACCCAACCATATCAAGTAAGGTCCTATTCCTCCTTTCAGACACTCCATTGTGTTGGGGTGTATACGGAAGGGTGAGTTGTGACACTATCCCACATTCCTTTTGGTATGTTTAGCTTAACTCGCCAAAGTTGGCATAGTTGTCATTTTGAGATTATCCTTATTGTCTTTCTTAAGAACATATTATTATGAAACAGTTCCATAAAGAATATTATTTACATCTAAGGACAATAATCCATTAGTAAACTAATACTCTCATTTGTCCTAACTGGACACAGAAATATAATTTCTAGAAACTGAAGAAAAATCATAATAATCCATGAGTTCTAAGAAACAAGCCCATCGGCTAAATCAAACGATAAGATCCTACAGCAAATGCAGCACGACTTGCTTCATTTTCAACTGGTAAGTCCACCTCTCCCTTGGCTAGCAATCTACTCTACCGTAGTCCCTACACATAAATCAAATGTGAGAACCACATCTTGTGTTAATAACCCAAGATGTTAACGGGATAAGTTGATCTAAAAAACTTACCTGACGAAGAAGTAGCATTCTTCTTCCCTCTTGCTAGGAATGCCTTACAATGTTTCCTCCAGTGGCTGGGATTCCCATAGTGAGGACAAACGCCTTTCCTTTCTGCAACAGTTCTTTCCAATGACTTCTGAGCCCTTTCCTTTTTACTTGAGCTGGCTTCAACCAATGTTAATGTTTCTGACATTTTCATGCCTGTCTCAGTAGCCTTCAACAAATCCAGAAGCTCGGAAAGAGTGTTCTTCTTATCTTCCTCAATGAAGTCATAGACAAATTGAGAATAAGAATCTGGCAAAGATTGTAATATTAGGTTTATCGTTAAACCTTCATTAAGTCCACTTCCCAAAATCTCAAGCTTGTTCATATACTCGGTCAACTTGAGTATATGATCACCAATTTTGGTACCCTCTTCCATCCTACATCTAAATAACGATCGAGACACCATATGCTTCTCATTTTTATGAAGAAAATGAAGAATAGAAGCTAAATCCATTTTTTGGCACTGTTGTAGCAGTAATGGTGCCATTGATGCAAGCACAATGTATTTAGTTATTTCTGCTTTTGCATCATATGTATGCTTCACATATACATACCCAGTCTCATGGATGGAACTATTAGTAGGCTCTAGTGATAGAGCTTGCTCAATGGTGTATAATCTATCGTTTGACTGAAGTAAATTGTTTATACTTCTATACCAATCAACCAAATTTTCACCATTCCATTTCTCTCCCAGTTCGATGATTTGTCGTAGTGATGTTAGGATCATTTTGCTCAATTTTAAGTCAATCTACAAGTGCAGAATAAGTAATCGTTATTACCATTTCATTATTATTTAATATGGTCTTTTATTAAACGATGCTCCCACTATTTAACTCAAGTCAATAGCCCTCACTATTAACTCGGGAAAGCCCGTTGGCTTTCCTAGTGGACCGAGATCCAATCCTGCCTATTTCAAACTTTCGCTTTGGCGAACAAGCCAAAATGAGTTGATTAGGTAGGCCAACAAACTTAATCCACACCAGTTGAAAGCTCATACTATCAACCTCAAATGTGAAGAAGCCAACAAGCCAATCACACAATCCAATGGCTCTAACCATTCAATAGAATGGACACTACATGCCACCACATACACACAATATGTGTACTTCTCTACTATGTCTATGACGTGTTTATCAACCTTCGCTTTGGCAAACAAGCAAACCGTCATGTTAAGTCTACTCATCACCATTGAGGAAAACTCCAATGCATTTTAACCTCCCACTGGTAGAAGTGTACCCTTCGCTTTGGCGAACAAGGTTTCGATGAATAGTGGTTTGATTAAAACCATGGTGATTGAAGGCTTACGTGACTTAATATCCTTTAATTAAGGGTTTGTTATTTAATATCTTACCAGATTATTATCTTTGTTAGAATGACATTGTTTGACATGTTATTGAACATTCAACCTTAGCATGCATTCTAAACAAAATATTAAAACGTGCCAGTACATGGCCCAACTAAAAACCGATTTCCTCGAGCCTAGAGGAATCAGTAGGTCACCTAAGGGTCTTGTAATAAAATCTTGAGTCTTCAAGTATAATTGTTTCTTCCTTGATCTGTCTTCAAGTACATTACAAAACATCATTCTAAATTTACAATAAAAATTAATCTCCAACTAATTTTACATCAAAAAATTTAGAAACCTTGATTTACATTCAAAGGGAATGAGATGAGAAGAGAATGTTCATCGAGAAGAGGAGAAAGGTAGGACACGCATGCCCTATTTAATAAATTACAATCATACATACCCAAAATTTTTAAAACATTCACCATAAGTCTAAGGCTCATGTACCGGGCACCACGCAATATACAAACAAGTACATGGCATACGTTTAAAAAACAATCAATTTTTGAATGGGTGGGCTAATTACTAATTACCCCATGATAATTTACAGATCTATATTTGGTCCAAAAGTTTTAAAACTTTACAATCTGGACCCTGCACACTTGGAAGTGCACTTGCTGCGGCGATAGGTTAGATTGCCACAATGTGCGCTGATTAACGTCGCACTTAAGCTTCATGTGCGCTCACCGTGATGATGGGATATATCGCTGCGACGAGCGCTGACTACGAACAACGTTCGTCCTAAGAACGATCGTCGCGGTGATGGATTATATCGTTGCGGCGAGCGCTGATTTTGCAATCAATGTGAATGCCAACAACGCACGCCGCGACAATGGGTTATATCGCTGCGACGAGCGTACACTGATCTGTAGGACCATATCAGTTCAACCAGCCACCAATAATACGCCAAACGGATTTTGCAATCAATCTATCGATTTCAACAAAAATCCATAACCAAATATTCCAAAGTTGCATATCATCAACAAATTTAAATTAATCGATTTCTTAAAACATGCTCTCATGGCAGATTTTGTGCAGATTCTTCAAGGCAACATGTTATCAATCAAATACATGTAATCAACCATCCACATAAAAATTATAAAATCTGGTACCCTAGGCTCTGATACCACTGTTAGGAAATGATCATCTATGGCAGCGGAAAACAAAAATAATTTACATGATAGATTGTTCCTTAGAACCAAGATCAGGGCACAAAAATTACAATTTATATATTAAATAAGAATCTGCAGATTTTAGTTTAGAGGTTTAAGAAATCATATGCACATTTAGAGGCTCCTCCAACTTGTCTCTGAACGTATTTCGCTACTGAACCAAGTGTAGGATCGAACCGATGTAGTCTATACAAAAATAACCTTAAGGAACTAAAGAGGGATTTGCTATATCCTCTTTAACTTTTAAGAACCAAGAAGAAATCAAAGTGTATTTGATTTTAGCAAAAGCAAAACTGGCGTGAGAGAATGTTAAAGGGGCTGGAATTTTAGTTTTTATCATTGAAATGAATAATAATTTTATTTCACAAAGTGTGCACTTATATAGTGCACACTATACCCTATTCCATCATGGAATGGGCTTGAGCTCCAACCCAACCAGCCCTTGTATCCAAACATCCCCTTTAAGATATTTTAATTTTAATTTATCATTATCTCAATTAAATTAATATATATATATTAACATTTATATATATATATATTAACATTTAACAGTAATGATAATTTATTTAAATATATACGAACACATATTTAAACGTAATCTCACTTATTTAATTTTAATATCAAATTAAATAAAGGCTACGACCTCAGCAAATTTAATTGCACTGTGAAATTACCAAAATACCCTTTCGCCTAAAAAGATGAAAACGCCCTTCTTCTAAATTGGCTCTTAAATTATCTTTTATGTGTGTAACCCATAGGCTCCTCATCATACTGGTAGTGTGCAGTATTGCGATTAACACCAATTAATCGTCATACTACACACAGAACAAAATTGGCCCCTAGTAAGGCATCATGGCCACCTGATAGATTCGGATTCAGCGAAGCAACTACCTGTCAATGATATGATTACCGTGCAATTCGATCCTTTCATCATCCGTTATCTCAACGAGACCGTGGCATAGAAATAGTGTCAACCTCAATTACTCTCGATATTATGTATTTAATTACTGGACCAATGACCTGTATTATAAACTGGATAGAGCAACAACTCAATCCCACTGTGGCCACAGTTTTATCGTCATTGCCATTTACTGAATTACGCCGTGAGATAACTTCTCCCATACCTGGGAGTGATGAATCCTTTGTCTATCCACCATAGTCTTGATACACTCCTTAATGCAGCCAATCACCACTGTATTGATAGCTTTGAATAGAACTGCGTTAGGCTAGTGTCAAACTACACTAATAGGTGCATAAGGCGCTCCAGTGATCTCAAGTCTAAGGATCACATGCACCACCATTCGTTAGAGGATTTTTTCCATAGACACTAGGGCTACCATCCATATGGAATCCTCTAGTGGGTCAGTCCAGTGAACTTGCCTACAGCAAGCACCCATGTGTTGCACCAGGTTATCACAAAACAACCTTGACAAGTGAGATCAATCACTACCTTTCGACAGGGTCGTTCAACACTATGATAGTCTTACCATATTATCTGTGCCCTTACTTCCAAATAATACTGGGGCTACAGACATTTCTAGAATGGCCATCATATGTGCTCATAGGGTTCTCACTATCAAGATTTGAAGCACTTGATACCCTCGTCAGGGTTCTGCCATTCTAAGGACATATATCAATACATACAATGATGATTTATGCGATATAGCATAAAATGGCTTTTATTGATCAATGAACATTATTACAAAGAGTCAATTCTGCAATAATTGATTGGCTCTAGGGCACCTATTCTAACATTTATAACTTTTGAGTTGTGGTTGTGGAGCTACTCACTAGTAAAAAGGCGTTTTCCTTTGACAGGCCTGAGAATGAAAGAAATCTGGCCATGTATTTTGTCACTGAAATGAAAGAAAACCACTTGGCAGAGATTCTTGATGATTGTGTAATGAATGGGGCAAACCCGGAGCAACTTAATCAAGTTGCTAACCTTGCAAGGCAGTGTGTGATAGTGAAAGGGGAGGAAAGGCCAACAATGAAGGAAGTAGCCATGGAACTGAAGGGGTTGATGATTTTAAAGTATCCATGGCTGAAAGATGAGCCAAATTTGGAAGAAACAGGGCAGTTGCTTGGAGAATCATCAGATACTGCTAGTCATGGTGGTGAAACGACTACTAGATATGATAGCATGAAGAACCAGGAAGCTGTAACTATACGTGTTGGAAGATGATTCCCCAGTTGTTCGATGATGCAATTCCTTTTATTTTACCCTGTTTTAGAGTACTTTTTTATCTGATTGGTATGAGATTTGCAGCTAAAGACTTGTACAAAACCTCATCTTGTGTTGCTGTTTAGTGTAAATTGAAGGATAAAATAAGAAGGAATTGTGAACATATCATCATGGTGAAGCATGGTATTTAAAATTTCTGACCACACCATTTTGCCTTTTCCCTTCTCCAAGTATATACTGTGTCTTGGCGTCTCATACTGTATAATTGAGGAAGATTTTAAACTTTCTATTAGAAGTGATCGCTTTATATAAATGACTATGTCCAAGGGTCGATTCTTATCACAACACGTCTTGTTAGTAGTGGGCGCAAATGATTAAATTAAGCCAAGTTTGGTTTCTTTATAAAGTATTTTTGCGTCGTTCTGCCGGAGATATAACTAATTGGCTCTTGTTGAAATTTCTTTAATGGCTGATAAGAGTGTAATTTATATATTTTTTTATTCCTTCCATATTATGTTTTTTTTTTTTTTATGTTTTATGCCTAGTTGAGTTGATTAGAGTTTATTTTGTAAGTTTGGCATATTTTGATAGACTTTATGAAATAATTGAGAAAAGATTAGGAAATTCCATATTTTTTGTTATTCTGACCAGTGCTGCGTTTTTCAGGTTTTTCATGGAGTCAGATTTCTTGATTGTAAAAGTGTTCTTCAAAAAAAGTAAAGTAGACAAATCAAGCCTTCCAAAAAGGTATTATGGGTGAGAATCCAAGTTTGTTTGGACCCTCATTTTTTGTTGCAAAACTGGACCTGGAATCCTATTCGTGGGAGGATTTCCTGGCTGAGTATTGAGTCTTTGAATGGGCCTAAATGGAGCTTCAGATATCGAAAACAAGTGATTCAAAAGCCCAAATTCATCTACACATCTAGTTTATGAGTGACCAAGCCTAGAAAAGTTCTTTTACATTGTGAGAATCCTAGTGCAAGCTAGATTACGAATTCTGTTTTCCATATCTGATAAGGAATTGACAGTTTTGGAAGTCTATCGTTTAGTAAAGGCCTAGGAAAGTAATTTTTGTTTTTCCTAGGGCAGAATTGAGGAAAAACACGTTATTTATTTATGAGTTGTTAGGTTAAACCGGGGCGCAAGGGGGGAAGTGGATTTTGTTTTGTTTTTTTTACTTTCTACGTCAATATGGGCGGCTGATCTTTCTTCTTTAGTCAAAGGGGATTTTGAAGCCTGAATTCATTTCATTGGTGTAACTTAACTTCAGTAACATTGTTCTTAATCTCGTTCTTATTGTAATTGTTTATGTTATTCTGTTTCAATTGTTTATGATTTTTGTTTGGGTGATTTAGTAATGGTCTGCTAAATTGTTTAATCAGAATTTTATCTGTTAGAATTAGGAATTGTGATACGTAATTGCCCTCTTTCTATTCAATGAGTAACACACGGTGATAGATGATTACGGACAAGTTTTCAGTCTGTCACCTTGAAAAACATAACCTAAGTTTAATAATCCGATCTTGCGTGATTGTTGCTTGGATTGATCTATTTTCCTAATTCTTAAGGCTGCCATTGAATTAAACTTAGAGAGTTTATTCTAGGTTGTTCAAGGGTTAGGATCTAATTGAAGAGCTTATTCCAGTAGTGACAATTAAGGGAAAATTCGGGTAACAGAGCTTGTTGTTTCCTAGGGTCAATAATTCCATAATAACGAGATAGAATAATGTTGCGGTTAGTTCATGTCCATGCATGTTTAGGTGGATCTTGAACCGAGAATTGGTTGTTTTTAATCTGATATTTTCTACCATTGGAGATTTATTCATTTCACTTTAGATTGCATTGCCTACAACCCCTTTCATTATTCTATTGTCATGTTTACTGTTTAGGATTTTATTTTATTTTATTTTTTTGTTGTTTTTGTTGTGGTTATTGGTCAGAATATATGATTTAATCGAATCATTCCTTGTGGGATCAACCTTTGCTCACCCTATGTGCAATTTAGTAGTTAGGTTAGTAAGGTTATTAATTTAGAGCATTCGGCATGCTACCAATGGCCCAAAAGACCATTACTACCGATACAACACTTGGATATTATGATCTTAGGCTGATCGACTTCTTGCTTTTAAAACTAAGTTGTTAATTATAAAAGTAACATCATATGTTTTAGTGATATTTTTAATGAATAAAATATTTCCATAATAGGTGCACATTCCAGGATTTTAAAATTTCCTGTCATATGCTAATACCATATATATATTGTTATTGTTATTGTTGATGCTGGATTTTGACACCAACTATTCGCATGTGCAAGGTGACTTAGGAATTACACGTGAACTGGAAATGAAATAAATAAAATGGGAGATGATTTTTAAAGTGGTTCGGATGCTCTCGGCAAATCCTACGTCCACTGCTTTTTATAAATAGGAGATTACAATCAGGTCGCGTATAACGATAAAAGAATAGAAATACAGAGAGGGAGAGTGACTGTTTTTTGATTGTCAGAATATTATCAGAATCCCAAAAATGAGAAGGAAGCTCTCTATTTATAGTAAGAGGTTTTTGGGTAATGATTACAACTCTGTAAGTGGGCAGGTGCTGTACAATTCCGACCCTACTTCCCACTGGCTGATTATACAGGAGATATCCTTAAATCGTGCAGGGCTTGGGCAGGTGGGTGACTCCCAACCACTCACAAACTAGACCATTACCTGCTAAGTTGATGACAGCCTTGCTCCTCCCATCCTTGGACAACGTGGCAACGCCTGGCGGTGCAAAGCCTTCTTGAACTTTGATTGGTCCTTGCTGACGTAAGCTCATGTCAGCCTTGATTTCTTAGGCATAATATATATATGGAATAAGAGGTTTTTGGGTAATGATTACAAGTCTGTAAGTTGGCAGATGCAGTACAATTCCTACCATGCTTCCCATTGGTTGATTGTACAGGAGATATCCTTAAATCACGCAGGGCTTGGGCAAGTGGGTGACTCCCAGGCACTCACAAACCAGACCTTTACCTGCCAAGTTGATGACAACCTTGCTCCTCCCATCCTTGGACGACGTGGCAGCACTTGGGCAGTACAAAGCCTTCCTAAACTCTGATTGGTCCATGCTGACGTAAGCTCACGTTAGCCCTGATTTCTTAGGCATTATATATATATATGTGTGTGTGTGTGTGTGTGTGTGTGTGTGTGTGTGCGCTTTAAAATATAAATTTGCATTTTTTTTTATTTCTGTAAAATTAAGTTTACTTATAAATTTTTAATTTTTTTTTAAATTAAAAAATTTGACTTACACTTGAAACTCTATTATAATTATTTTGGAAACAATAAATTCAAGCTTATCCTTAGCTACCATCATTTGGGATAATAAAGTATCTAGCAAGAGATGCCCGTAATTAATTACACAAATACAATACAATACAACAAAGGAGGCTCTCAAGGCTTGTAGTTATAATCATTATAGTTAGGTGTGAGCATGAAAATAGGTTCTACCTAGAATCGACGGGTACCTGAGTGAAAGAATTCATTCTTAGAAAGGGTAAAATTGGTGTAAAACATGATATAAGGTCATATGACATGTTATTGAAACTAAAAGGGTGAAATTGTTACATTTTATGCTTTACAACTCTTGTAACTTGAAAAGGAGTTCAAGATCTTCAACAAATTTGATGAAAATCCTCAAAGTAAAGTCTACCCCAAGATGAAGAAAAGAGAGTCGACCATGAGAGCTCAAGAGAGAGATTTTCAATCCAAATGAAAAATTAGATTAAATTTGCGGAATATCACTTATTTATATATGAGGACCATTTTAAAATTATTTAAAATTGTTCTCAAGTCCTTGAATTAATATGAATCATATATTAACACTTAATACAAATTCAATATTATTTTCAAGTCCTTGAAATAATTTCGATTTAATATTAACTCTTAGGGCCTGTTTGGATCGGGTTGAAATTTTTTAACATGGGTAATATTTGTTTAATTGAGCAGATAACCGTGTTTGGCATTTTTGTATAAAAACATTCACGAAAAATAAGATGACAAACAGTGCCAAAAAGGGGGTAAATTGTTGGGAATAATATTACCTGAGGGGGGCTTGTTATTAAAACATTACTCCGGTAATCATAATTTATGTCCAATCTTGCCCCTAAACAGTGGATTATGCGAACGAAAATATCCTTTGGTTTATTAATAATTACAAAATAGCCAATTTACACAAACAGACGTATTTGTCCTTAGTTTTTTTATTTTCTGCACGAAACTGCCCTGTTTTTTTATCATTTTTTTCAGAAACGCCACAAAGATTGGTGTACCCATATTATCCTTAGATATTTGCATATTGTGACCAATATGCCCTTGAACTTCATTAAAACTACAGTATAAAAGAATTTTTTTTCTTTTCAAAATAGCACAAACAGGCACAATTTCCTTCTCTGTGCTAAAACTCGTTTACCGCTGCTGGAGTCTTCCTCTCGTCGATCTCATTCACCAGTTCGTCAGTCCGATCGCTATTTTCGGTAAGTTGTTTGCCCTCTTTCCTTTGTATGTTGCGTGATTTGTTTGGATTGCAACCCTAAACCCTAACTTGTCCATTTTCCCTCTGTCATTGGTCCACCATCTCTGTCGTAGCAATGTCGGGTCTTCGTCACCCTCTGTTTGCTCCCGATAGCACTCCAATCGCGGTTATCGGTAAGTTCGTCGCCTCTTTATGGTGTAGGAAGATTATTAAATTGAGAGGGTTGATTTATTTAACTGTAGAGAGGGTAATATTGTCGTGGAATAACCGATTTGATGCTGAAATTACATCAAAATAGTTTGAAATGGCAGCAGAGTTTAGGGTTTAATGTCATGATTTGTTGCGTTTGAGTTACGGTTCCTTTGTTTTTTTCTATTAAAGGTTTGGTTGTGTGTGTTCTTGTTTATGTGTGTTAGGGCTGAAATTGGTGAAATTGTGTGTATGAACTGCATTTTTGGTTACTGTTATGGTTGCAACATGAT